ATCTGAGAACAGACCACTATTAAATCTTCCATAGGATCCTATACTTAAGAATTGAATTTCAGGAGCTGAAAAATAGTATTTCAACCGTTTTCGGCCGAGTGGCAATATTAAAGCAAGGTAGCCATGTACTTCAGCTGTGCACCATTAGAGTTATGACATATGTTGTCCGGCGTTTTAAAAAAATATCGCGAATTTACTAACCGACACCACATTTGTGCCTGAAAAACAGTCGCGCAGTCGAATGCATGGGGGCCATACATTGAAAGAATTCGTTTTAACTTACCAGTAACTATCCACCCATCTCAATGTGCATGTCATTGCCACACACGCTAGCCAGCCTAAATAATGCAACCACAAAACGTCGCGTCAGCTTTAGTGCACGAGCTGCGGGCCCTCCGATTGGTCGGCTGATGACGCGTCACATCCTCTAACCTAACAGGGTAATGAACCGGAAGTGATTTAATAGTGGTCACGTGTCATCCAGCGTTGCCATTTGGTGATTTCCGTCACCAATTTTGAAAATTTGGTAATTTTTGGCAAGACTTGGTGACAAAAAAATGATTTGGTGATTTGGTGTTTTTTTTTTAATTTTTGGTGATTTTTTGACGTATTGGTATAAAAAGACAAAATTTCAGCTTTTTTTTTAATTAATCAATTCTACAATACATTACGATCTACTGTAGACAGTTGATGTGTAAAAAAATTTCCAAATGTGTAAATTTTCGAGATTTGACCCTATTAAATGCATTGTAACCATTTTTTATTTTTTATTTTTTATTTTTATTGCCGAAATGAACAAAACGAACTCGCTTTAAAACGTAAATAAGTTACATGTGGTCAATATCAGTCTTCAGTAAGCGCTAACATGGTGAAATATTGAGATTTTTAAAACTTGGTGATTTTTAGCTCATCTGACATAGTACAGCATCATGGTAGGAAAAGCTATCACTGTGCCGAAATTGGAGGTCACAGGTCAAAGGTCAATGGGCACAGGGCAGATTTTAGACATTTTCTGAGGACATGGTCTGACGGTATTAACATCAAGATTATTTTCTACGGACACAACTATGCCGCCAAAAGACAAGGGGAGAGCCAGCAAGATCTTTGTTGTCTTCTATTTCTCCTCCTCATCCTCCTCAGCATGATGAGGGTTTGGCAATCAAGTAGTTCGAGTTGTCCTTCTACGAGAAACATAGCATAGAGTAGTGTTGCCTCATCCATAGTGGACACTGAACTGGTGGGGTGGCCAGGGTAGCACCCCAAATTATACCCCAAGTTGGCAGGACGTGATCTGAGCGTAACTAACACGTAATGCAAACGCCACAACGGCGTAGTCTGAGCGTGTTGGGCGTAGTACAATCGTAGTACGAACGGGTCTAGCTTGTTACTGTTAGAGACGCACCATGGTCATAGCGAGAGCGTGGTCAGGTCGCAGAGACATCTCCATGGACGTAGTAACAGCGTGATGAAAACGTATTGACATCATGCTGAGAACGGGGCGACAATTTTCACGCGCCCGACACGCTTGCGATACGACCATTAAGTTCGTACTACGCTCGAGTTACGTGGGTACTACGCCTTCCACGTCCCCTCTCCAATACGCCCGCACTGCGCTGTATTTCCGCCACGCTCGCACCACGATTATTTTGAACATGTTCAAAGTTTGGCCACGCTCTCCACGCTCATGCTGACTGCACCGCGCTCGATCACGATCGCAGTACGTCTATATACGTCCACACTGCGTTCTACACGTTTCCACCACGCTCTTAGAGCGTGGTACGAGCGTAGTGAGATCGGGGCCCTGGTGTGACTGGGGTATTACTACGTCCTTGGAGATGTCTCTGCGACCTGACCACGCTCTCGCTATGACCATGGTGCGTCTCTAGCAAGCTCGACCCGTTCGTACTACGATTGTACTACGCCCAACACGCTCCGACCACGTCGTTGTGGCGTTCGCATTACGTGTTAGTTGCGTCAATACCACGCTCAGATCACGTCCTGCGAACTTGGGGTATAAATTGGGGTGCTGGCCACCCCACCAGTTCAGTGTCCACTATGGATGAGGCAACACCATGCCATGTTTCTCGTAGAAGGACAACTCGAATTACTTGATTGCCAAGCCCTCATCATGCTGAGGAGGATGAGGAGGAGAAATAGAAGACAACGAAGATCTTACTGGGTGCGTCCGTGGCTTTCGGTAGAAAGACGACTTCTCTATGGTCACTATGATCGCCTCATGGCTGAGCTCCGCATGGAAGATCAAGCATCCTTCTTCAACTTCCTGAGGATGCCTCCGGAGATGTTGGATGAACTGCTTGTCAGAATTCGGCCGAGAATCCAGAAGCAGGACACCCGATACAGAAAAGCACTTGAACCAGGACTGAAACTGGCAGTCACGGTGCGTCACCATAAGGCATCTAGCATCGGATGATAAATATCCCTCACTTCAGTAGGACTTCAGAGTGGCCCGCAACACCATATCGCTGTTGGTTCCAGAGGTGTGCCAGGCTATTGTAGAATAACACAAAGAGGAGGTCATTTCGTGTTCTACGATGCCAGAAGAATGGCATGCCATTGCCGAAGATTTCCTGAGAAAATGGAATGTGCCCCATGCCTGCCGTGCCATCGACGGAAAACATGTGGCCATCAGATGCCCATGCACCGAACTCTGGCTCATTGTATCATACCTATAAGGGCTTTTTTTCCGTGGTGCTCATGGTTTTGGTGGATGCCATGGTATTTATATGGTCGTTGCCAGCGCAGTCGGCGCCTGACTAGAGCATGATTAAGTCGCACTAGGAGCGTGACTGGCGCGCAGTTGAGGCGCGGTGAGCGTTGCTTAGGCGCAGTGCAAGCGTCGTTCGAACGCAATGCGATCTGATTAGTCGCAATAAAGACGCAGTGAGCGCAGTGCAAGCGTGATGCGGTCGTGTGTTGAGCGTGGTATGCAGCGTGGTGAAAGCTTGTTGGGCGCAATGAGATCGGGGTAAAGACGCACTTAGATTGTAGTATCGACGTAATTAGATCGTAGTATCGATATAAATATATATATAATTATAATTATAATTATATATTAAGGCCCCGTCACACTAGAGCTACGCTCATCACGATCGCCCCACGCTCAAAAAATTTACCCGAGCGTGGTGAGAGCGTGGCCAAATGGGCCCCAGCCGGGCCCAATTGGCCACGCTCTCACCACGCTCGGCTGGGGCCCAATTGGCCACGCTCTCACCACGCTCGGGTAAATTTTTTGAGCGTGGGGCGATCGTGATGAGCGCGCGCGCGTAGCTCTAGTGTGACGGGACCTTAATAGTTATAGTGCATCCGGTTGCCTCGCGAATAAACAGAATAGTTTACATGTATACAACTGTGTGTAGTCGATATGCATGTATTCCGGATGCAGGACTTGTCCTGTTGAGTGGCTCTCTGCTACGTGCCTGATGGCCCCATGACAATTATCTTAAGTAAACAAGCAGCGTAGGAATGTACCTCTGTGTAGTGATATGGCTTCAAATTTGGGAGACAATTTCGAGCACTCGCGTGCAGTGTGTGCAAGTGGCACCGGCTGACGGTTGCCACGTACGTCGATTTGAGAGTTCTCTCGGAAAATTACTATAGTATAAGTGGAAACGACAAGTGCACACCAAGCGTTGTCAACAAGCCAGTTAGTACCCTTGCATCACGTAAAATCACACTATCTCACAAGTATGTGATATAGACAAAAAACAACGTGTTTAACATGTGTTGAGCTTTCCGGGTCTCTTTAGAATATATGCATAACTTATTTGCATACTGCTAAATATCAGTTTATACTTACAGAATCTGCTGCCTCTCATCCATTCTTCAGCTTTTGTATTCCTCTTCATTCTTTACCTCCGCTTCCTCCACCGCCTATCATCTCCTCTACTTTCTCTCTTTCCACCTCCCGTACCTCCTTCACATAACCTGTCTCCTCTCTTCCTCAATGGCCTTCTCAGTTTCTTTAACCTCATCTACCTCATCTATCAACTACAATTACTACATCATTGGTGCTGTAACTCCATCATTGGTGTTTATAGTCTCGGTTGCTGTCGGTAAAAACAGCGTGGTTGTGTAGATGATTTTGTATTGCTGCAGTATTAGCGTCTGCATTATAACACAGTGAACCTGGGTGGGATTTACTATGGGTTTGGATAACTATATAGCTGGGTTTTATTGTGCTCGTGGATTTGGTGTGCTACAGTCAGTCGGAGAGTGACTTGCACTACCCCAACTGGACCTTATATAATTACATATATATATTGATTTAATGTACATTTACAGGTCGTGTTGTAAATCGGTCAAAATTTCATGAGTGATTATGGGTTATACACAAACTAAACTACGGCGGGTGAAGCATCGATTGATGAGTTATCATGAGTTACGATAATAATTTAACATGGTGAAAGTATTGAGCCAGATCTAATGTTTAGCCGTTACAAAGTCTCCAGTGGTGTGTAATCTCAAAAACCTGTATGAAATGATTCAGATAGTAGATTTGAAACAATCAACAAAGCTATTCGTTCATAATTGTTTGCTATGGATGCTTCTGCTATTCAAAGGAGTTGCATTGTGTCGTGACTGCTCTCGGCAGTTGCGACCACCGTGTAAAATGCAATCATGAATTCGATTAAGATGAACTCGATGCCTAAACAAGCAATGCTCGCAACACATGATGAACCGGATCACTACTATAAGTTTCTGGTACAGTGATCCTTGCATTATAGGGACAGGTCGAAAATCACGAAAAAGCCCCGATTAAGTAGTGAACACATAGCAAGTTAGCAACGTGCGTAAGGATCAGTTTTTTATAACATGTCACGATTGCGGCCGTTTATCCGAAGCCTGATGAAGCGGGGACCATGCACTGTCGACAACATAATTAAAGAATGTCAAATCAATCCACGTCGTATCATTATACTCATTCAAGACGTGCAAAGCATTTCTTTAATGGTATGTCATTATGGCCGATCTCATTTCAGATAGAGGATGTTGAGACAGACCATGGAACGATGCAGGTGGCCATCCAGGGCGAGAAAACGAAGCCTGCTATGGTGACGTTCCACGACATCGGCCAGAACAGTAAGTAAACTCTGCAGCGTGGTGAATGTTGATGCCGCCGCCGCCGCCGCCGGCTCTAGAACATGACTGCCTCCGTAATCTAATTGCAGTGTGCAGCTGCGCAGGCGAGTGCATTTGCTCCACGTGTAAGTGGGTGCAATATAATGTGCGCGAGTGTCTTCCTGTGTGTGCATGTGCATGTGCGTGCGCGTATGCGCGTGTGCGTGTGTGCACGCGTGCATGTACGTGTGCATGCGTGCAGCGTACGTGTATGTAAGTGCCTGTTTGTCATGCGAGTATTTGTGCATGCAACAAGCGAGTTCATATTTGCTTGGTGCATCCTTTATTTATTCTTTGCTGCACGCCATTTATTATTTTAACGAAAATTTAAGGGGTTCACATTTGCCTACTAAATTATGTGTGCAAATTTTTGTATTTAATTTTAATTATCAACGTTAATTGAATGCATGCAATGACCGAGGTTATAACAATTTTATTTATATTCACTATACGATTGCATTCAAATGGCAAGACTACTGAGCTTAACTAGTTTTCAAGCAGATTTTAGCCCAATTGGTATGTACAAGAGAAAATGAATCACGCTTGGGGCGAAATAGTTTCAGTTGAGAAACTTCATAGTCTGCACTTCATTTAAAAACAGATCTGTATTCGATCATTGTTAATTTTATTGGCATGCGAATGTCCATGGATCTTTGCATCAGGCATGTGTCTAATGTCTGTCAGATTTGATTAACAAAAGCATTTGCACCCGAGCCACAATGTCTGTGTCATCAGTCCATGTCTGGTTCAAAATTTCACTGCACGTTTCTGCTAATTCGTTTCTGCTAATGCATTTGAGCTTTGTTTTTATTTACTCCTGTAAATATGTATATGTGTTGCTAATATAAAATTATATACATACCTATTAAGTAGATAAAAATAAACAGTTTACTATTGATGATGAATTTGTCTACAGTGTTATTTTCCTAATACTAGCAATTAATCTCCCATATACTACGTATATTATATATTATTATATATTCTTACAAACATGCACGCACGCACGCACGCACGCACACACGCACGCACGCACGCACACACACGCGCGCAAACACTCATACACGCACACATATATCCTACTGAAGTTTTTATGTATCTAAAACGTTCCCTTTGTATTTATCTTGTCTTATCAATTCAATATAAATAAAATTATAGTGGCTAATATAGAAGCATAGTACTGGTACTGCAGTGAATAGAGAAATTAAAGTATGCAGATTAGGCAATTAAGGAATGTAGGAGGATTTATGGGATGTCGCAAATTGGCTTCAGCTTTAAGGGCATGTTGGACCTGACATGCGTTAATAGTCTGGGGAGAACCATGGGGTCGTCGCTTCAGAAGAGGGTTTATTGTGAATAAACCATATATTACCCTATAGTTCAAAAACGAAAGCTGTGGTTGATCAATAATGTTTTGTGTAATATCCAAAGCCCAATCCTAACCAAATCAACTAATTTTGTACTTTAATTATACTGGGTTTACTTTACAATACTACGTACACTACTTAACTTTGCTTTACTTTACTAATATTTACGTATATTGCTATTTACTTGTGTACTTCTTCATTCCTTAGTCTGTGTTGCGTTATATATAGTTTTCATCTCAGGCGTTGAGTCGATCTAATATTGGTGAACTCTGCCACATATTTTTGCAGGTGCATCGTGCTATGGTGGATTCTTCAGCTTTGCAAACGTTCAGCCGTTGCTGCGCCACTTTAGCATCTATCACGTCAATGCTCCTGGTCAACAGGAGAATGCCCCGGCATTACCTGAAAGGTAAGGTGTTACTCGGTAAACCCAACCACTACATACGCCAACCGGGACTTTATTTGTTGTAACCCAACTCGCACGTTGCAGTCATCTAATGTCACTTTATTTTGTTCACTTATTACTCACTACATTTAAACATGTATATAATGGTTACACAAGTTAGTTGGCCCTCTTTGTCTCAGACAGGACGTAAGGTTGCAGGGTTACTCGACCGAAGCCCCAAAATTACGTATCCTTTATAGTCATAGACATGCGTCTGTTCTATAAAGTGCTGCTTCTATAGTGCTAACTGCCACTCGAGGGAAACACTGAAGTGACCTTTATAGAGAGCTGTCCATTCCTTAGAGGTGTCCGCTAACAAAGGGTTGACCGCGTCTTTTATGTTCTTATCTTAGAAGTCTTATCTGAGACATCTGAAACACCTAGGCTATGCGATGGTTTGCCAAAAAAACGTTTTTCATGTGGCTTCAGCATTTTAAGTGCATTAGAGTGCATGCACGGTGAAACTCCGCTGACTGTTAGCTACTTCAGGATTTTCCTCCAAAAGATTTATCTGAAAATCTTTTAGCATGAAGACATTATTTCGAAAGCTATGTGACACACTATTATGATGTGAGTGTGTAATAGTGGTAAAAGCGGGTTTTAAAACATTTCACATGCAAATGAATTGGTTTGAATTATCGGGCAATCGAATATTTAAGTTAAACAGGAAACCACCTCTTGGTGAACAATATGTTTGGAAGTTATGGACGCCCAATCAAAGCATATCCATGACGTAAAGTGTGAGAGATTTGAAACTGTCAATAACTTCGGCTATAGGATGAATGTTTGTGAACACGACAGGTGGCAGAAAATAGTTTTGCCAGTTGTTTTGGTTGATGAGGAATCGTTGGATTTGAGTTGCTGTGAATGTCTCAATTATCGTCGCTGTTGCCCCCACGTATTGGATCAACGTTGCCTAATTACGTTGCCTGGTAATGTACCAGCTAGTGCTAATTATGTGCCACAGTTCATTACATTAATATTAGTTTAATAAAAAAAAGACCAGTTGGCTTCTTTTCACATGTTCCTCGGATTAGAACTGCGACAAATAATAATAAACAAATCGTTTGAAGTGTGATCGTTTTATCTTAGATACGCATTAATTTAGCACATTTAGCAACATTCTCTCTATGAGAAACATAGTTGTCTTGAAATGCACAATACACAGAGTGTTTTAAGCTCATATTTGTGCAGATGGGAGCAGGCTTATGTGAAGCCAAGCATGATATACATGAGTTATATGTGAATGTTCACGCACGCCAATATTAGCATACATTGTGATGGTGTGTGATGGGCTTACAAATGTCCCCTTTAATGGCAAATAGCCCCGCCCACCAGTCCGCTCGCATAAAAATGGCCAACGCTCATCACAACAGTAATGCTAGCTCGTGCCCGATTTACTATCGTTCGTTTCACATCAGCCGTTGGTTTGCGGTCGATCAGTATGGAGTTGTCAGGAGGGGGGGGGGAATGGGTTCCTGCAGGGTTTTAATTGGAAATCAATATATAACTAACATGGCGGCCAGAAATCGCCTTACCGAATGACAGCCGAGTTGCCGAAGCTCACATTCCTGTAGAAATCCGATTAATGTAACTTATGTTTACTGCTTACTGACGCTTGACTCCAGCGTCCTCGTCTCTGTGCTGTGCAACCAATTGTCTGATGCGCAACGGTATATAAACCGGAAACGTATTGATAAAAGAAATTTTAGAGCCTGATGATGAGATTTAATGAGCTTCCTAAGTCACCGACGACGTACGTTGCCATGCTGATCAATGAACGAGCGTGGCATACGAACATGTCCAGGAAGGACTTCACTTTTGATTGCAAACAGATGAAAAATCATGGCCTCATAAAAAACTATACTCTAACGAAAAATTTATCGTTTTCCTAATTGTTATGGAAAACGCACCTCAACCCCCCAAAGTCAACTGGTGCTAGTCGTTAACAATTTTGAATATGTTAATTGTTGGTCTGGGCAGAATTATGTCCATTGTTAGGCTGCATATATTTCAGCCAAGTGTCGTTACGGTTTGTAGTACTTTACAAGTTGCTAGGGCAACTTAATTGGTAGAGCGTTCTTAATTATTGATGTACTAATGGCCATAAGCTTGACTTCACGAGTGAAGAAAAAAAACACTTGTTTTTATTCGCCCATGTTGACTTAGCTACCACAGTTTAGTGTGCATGTTTTAATTTATACCTTAGAAATAATTAGGTACTGTTATAGTTGTCATACCAGTGAATTATTTGTCACATACACTACAAGTACAATTTACAAGTAAGGAACTTGCATAACCAATAGGTTAAAACTATATAAAACATAAAAGTTTTATTTATTGACATTATTCATAACATCACTTCTGTGTACCACCCATAACTATTGATATAAACCGAGTATTTGAATCTCAAATCTTGAATCAATTTTTTACTGTACAACGTAGTTATTAAATGTTTTAGGATTACATAAATGATCAGAGATTTCATCCACTATGGCAAGCATGGTTTACTAACACTGACGCTCGGTCATTTTTAGCTTCGTGTATCCTACGATGGAGCAGCTGGGAGAGATGATCCTCACCGTGTGCAATAAACTCGGGTAAGCAGGTGTGTGATGAGTGTGTATGAGTGCGTGCGTTCGTGCGTGCGTGCGTGCGTGCGTGCGTGCATGTCTGTGTGTGCGTGTGCGAGCGTGTGTGCGTGCTTGCATGCGTGTGTGTGATTGCGTGCATGTCTGTGTGTGCGTGTGCGAGCGTTAATGTCTGCGTGTATGTCTGTGTGTTTGTGTGTGTGCGTGCGTGCGTAGTGATTGCGTGCATACATGTAGACTTGTCTGCGTGTCACACATCACGTTTTCTGTATCCTTTGAATATTAAAACCAAATATTTAAGCCGATAGGCTTTTGGTACTAAACTAAAGATTAATGTTGTTTCTCTTGTCAGAATTAATCTCTTAATTTTCTTGCACGCATATTTACATTTCAGCTTAGAAATATATTTTTTTAGCTTGTAAATTTAGAAACACGTGATGGCAAATTATATAGTATAAAGAGAAAAGAGTTATAGAACTCACCGGGAGGGTTTAATGATTCTGCATCAGTGTAACAGCACTGTCAACTCTAACAACCCTGTTACTAATGCTGTATCATAATTAGCATTATTATAATGATTCATTGCTGTCACGAGTTTCTCCTAGTGCCCGGGTGTTAGCTCACAGGTTTGACAGTAACACCAGTGTTGCATGCCACCCCTGTACTATATCACATCGCTCTATAATATTTACTTGTTAGCTACAGTACGTATCATACACTGCCATTTTCCTCGTGAAAATTGACGTGTAATTCCCAGGTCAGCTGCTAGTGACAGTGTTTACTATGTTCTTCACCAGCCCTATTGTGTGTGTTTACAGAATCAAGAGGTTTGTTGGATTTGGAGTGGGCGCTGGTGCTAACGTTTTATCGAGGTTCGCGGTAAGAATTCCGACGTATATGTTTCTAGTCAGGCCTAGAATTATTCCGTCTGGTGTAGTTTGCACGCACATACTTTTTGTTTTTAATGAATTTTGGATTCAGGTCCTGAAACCCCAGCCAGTCCTGATTTTATCTACTTTAATAGCTGCTATAAAACCTATTATATATATGTTACTTCATGTTTTACATTGACAGCTGATGCATTCCTAAGAACAGTAAGCATCATATTATACTTGAAAGTTCATGTAAACACATCTACTTTACATATAAATTTTTTTAGTCTTTGACCAAGGATTTATTTTCTTTAGCTTAGAAGCGATCTTGTGGGACATGCTAACTATAATAGTAGTCTCCGTTTTCAGTGTGTACAACGGATCACGCTTACCGTGCACATGGATTTAGAGGCATGCGTGGGGGGGGGATTAAGTCCGCCTTGTTGCAGGTCACGTGGTATTGGATCAATCCAGGTGATCTATGCAGTTGTTCAATTGACTACGTCACGAATTTTACCTTGGTCAAATTTGTAAAAAAAAATTGCCATTTTTTTACATTAAAAGTGAGAACTAACGTTACTAAATATATCCTCAAACTCTCACCTGATAAAAATGTTTTTACGTTGATTAAATTTGCAAAAATCTAGACGATTTGGTAATTTCTGTTGTCTAACACTATTCCCCCAGTACTGCATGTTCAGATACTGGCGTCTCTCTGTTTTTCACCGGCAAATTAGGGCATATAAAGAAGGTATATAAGCATGAAAAGTAAACAGAAAAACTAATTGTATTTTCATACATTTTATTTTGTACAAATAACACACAAATATACTACTTGATGGTGCTAGAAATTCGTGACATAATCACTTTGAACAGTCGAATGTTTCGAGATATATTCTCGGGTTTACTGTAATGATAGGTTCGTGATTGCAGGTGCTCTTAAGAACTAGCATCTTTAGACTCGATTCTGCCTCGCGGTAGCTATAGTGCGAGCTCGTTAATTTTCACGGAGCCTATCATTGGTCGCAGGGTAATTACTGTTAAGTCTGCTATTAGGAATACTGCTACGCCAATCACAGAGGCAGTCTAGCTCGAAACCCTAGATTATGGTAACAGTGGTGAATTCCATTGCCTTGGCCATTCATTAGTCATGGGTAACACTGGCTCGTGCATCTGTTAATTGAGCCACGAACCGTGAATCCTTGCAGTGAGGAACTATACCTACAGGTTGCACTTAAAAAAATAGTTCTTGTTTGCCGTAACCATCCCGACCGTACAAAATTCATTCTGTTTGCTATTTCCTTTTTCACGCAGTATTTGCACGTGCACGCGAAGATAATAATAAACATAAATTACGTAAAATACCATGCCGCAGGAAATTTCCAGCTTCTATTTTTGTAGACATACCAGTGTGATATGGGGTTGGGTGACTACGAATATTGCTTGCGAGGCACATGGGCATAATGCGTAGAGCGACTGAGATGATCAAAGTGCTTTTTTTCTGTAACTGCATAACTCACTTGTTCGTTTGAGCAAGATAATCACACTCTCTTTAGTTATTGTTGCTGGGTCAGTCAATCTAGACCATTACCAGTTTGTATGCTCTTTTCTCATTATGTTGACTTAGCGGCACTTTAGCGCCAAGCATTTTCTTTAGAATCTTTTGTTACAACAATGATTGGCTACAGCTGCCTGTCAGTTATGTCAGGTGGACAGGTAAATTGTGTCTGTAGATTTTTCAAAGAAATCACGAATGCATTCTTAGAAGAATAGTGTGTACATATGCAATGAGCATAGCTCAGCAAAGAGTGTACTGCAAATCATGAAGAATTCGTGTGATAATGAATATCATGTTGATAACTTCATTTTGATTAATTTGAATGACTATGGGGTTTTTATTGATTCTATGAGCACAATTTTTTAAGACGAGAATAATCGCGCAGATCTCATACATTAAAATTATCTGGTTTTTGTTTTGCATATATGTTTCCTAAATATTACATTATCAGCTTAGTGAAGAAATACCCAGTCACGCATGTTATAGTTGCATGTCATAAATAGAATACTTTACTTGTGCACTTATCACACCCTGCTAAGTATATCTTTAATTATCTGTTCATAGATTGTACACCCAACCATGGTGGATGCCCTTGTGTTGATCAATGGAGTGGCCAAGCAGGCAGGATGGACAGAGTGGGGGTATCAGAAGGTATGGTATCCTAATGAATACCACTGAAAGTTCTGTTGTGATTCTTTAAAGCACAATCAGCAAACCGTGATTTTTTGTTAATCTGATTCGCTCGTGTGTGCGTGCGTGCGTGCGTGCGTGCGTGCGTCACTGCGTGTGTGCGTGTGTGCGTGTGTGCGTGTGTGTGTGTGTGTGTGTGTGTGTGTGTGTGT